ATCACTTTTATCTCCACAGTCATCTTTACCATCGCATCGGTAATAATCAGGGACGCACATTTGGTTGGAACACTTAAACCAAGTGCTGAAATTACACGGCTTATCGGAACCTGCAAAAGAGGATAAGGGGAAAGAAAGCTGCCACATAGAGCTATAATCAGGGACAAAAGTAGTTTACACACTTGTTTAAAACGGGTGCTTTTATCAAACGTTTAATTCATTTATTATTTCATTCCTTTTAAACACCGTAAATCCCCTCACCACCCGAATCAATGTTGTCTAAAGTAACAGAAAGACTTGAGGGTCCAAAATACATCATTGACTTTGGGGGGAAGGAGTCGGGGTAGACAGGGGAAGGGGATAGGTATGTCCACTATGCAGAAAGGGGCCATTTTACGGAAGTGTCTCAACACTTTTGTCCCTCATTGTAGATTATCGATATCATCATCATTATCATCATCATCAACACCTCAACCATTACCACCTCCACCAACATTATCATCATCATCATCATAATCATCATCGCCATCATCATCATCGTCATCATCATCGCCATCATCATCATCATCATCATCATCATCATATTCATAATCGTCATCATCAGTCCTTTCCGTCCCCATTGATGTATAGGTCACGTGAGGACGTGTACAGCTTTAGAGACATTTTAAACTTACCCTAATTCTCTCCAAAAAAAAAGGACAAAAGAAAAAGACCTTACCGGCACTCTGGTCCAACAGACAAAAACCGGAAATGAGATTTTGGCCTGGGTGGACAATTTCTTGAAATCATATTATTTTGTCAACCCAAGCCTCGAATTCTTGCATTTTCTCACTGGAATACCCGAAAGATATATTCACACTTAAATAATTTATATAGTGAAAATGCAGACTTGCTTCATATTTTTAAAAAATTGTTTTCCTTAAGTTTTTTAAGTATTTACATTTTCTTGCCGAATAAAATGACGTTACAAATATTTTACTAATTTGGGATACCCGCCGACCGTGTACGAAAGGCCTTTTTGCAAGTTCGTATGCATTTAAAAGATGTAACGTTTTCCTGCCATATTGTCACTGAAGATATGGGTTAGCTGGTGAATCAGGCCTATAGTGAGGATATGCTCTGTTATTGATCAGCGATTTGATGAATTAAAACTTACTGTAAATAGCTGGGCGACGGCAGTAGTAGTGTTTCTAATTAATAGTTAGTGTGAGAGAGTGTTACGGTTCAAAAAGTAGTTAAACATGGTGTGGTATACAGGTTCTATAATCCTAGCCGCACACACCCATCCAAAAATTATGGCTACCCTTAAAGGATCTGGGATGAGTTGTTCAGAGGCCAATTAGCACAAATCCAGGATCAATTGCAATGGTAACTCATATGCTCAGGGTTAGAGCTAATTGGTCTTTGAATACTGAACTCCGCACGGGTGATGATTACCTTTAAGATCAGTTCCATTTCCCCCGCAGCGGTCTTCGTAGTTACACTGTCGGTTGAGCACAAAAGCCACTGTATTACGGGAAGGAAGTTTAACGGCGTGAAACACCGTGCATTGATCTGGGTTCATCATTGGAGCTGCAAATCACACACAACGCAATTATTTTGCTGTTAATTCTAAAAGAATAGTTGAGGTCGGTTTTGTCGTTGTGTTAGCGCTTTGAACCATCACATGTGGAGAGTAACTTTGTGGAGCTGAAAGTTGTAGGCAAGCCTTTCATATTTGATACCCTTTAATAAGTACAAGCGATGATAAGCACAGTTCATGATACGAACTGTTAGTTTTTAAATTGAGATCTATTTTGACCGAGTTGTTGAGGTTCTGTTTCAGAGCCTCATCACTAGAAATCAGTTGAAGTTATCACAAATCACAGTGGCGGAGCCAGACCTTGCGATATTCCGATAAGGGGTGGGGGGAGGCGGTCATCCAGGGCCCGGTCTTAAAAAGACTTTTTTCGGCCCTTCGGGCCTCAGTTTGGTCCAAATATAAGGAGGGGCGGACCCCGCCACTAAATCCGCCACTGAATCAATTCACTTAAGTTTGCTTTCTTCACAAACTTGTTTACGGGTTACATCAGTTACGGTTTCAGCATCTTGAAAAATTAGCCTAAATTTTCCGCTTGTAATCAATGTCAATCTGCTTCTTCCTTAAAACATCTTTGCTCCTTTATAGTTACCTCGTTGGTTTGTCAGTTCTATTTTACCCTATTCAATTAAAAAGACACTGAACAATAACCACACAACGACACAAAAGCGAACCAACAATGGTCTCCGCAACACTTAGAGACACCGGGGAAATTGAAGAATGGGAATTTAAAAAACAGGGAATTGGAAATGAAGTTACTGATAGGGCTAGGGTTCAAGTTAGGTTTTGTTCCCATTTTTCATTTTCCCGCTTTCCCATTCTCGTTCCCTACTCCCTGTTCCGCGTTTTAGTTATATCCTTGGGCAAGGGAAATAAAAGTACTACTGGACTTACGACAATTTATCTCGTCTGATTGGTCAGCGCACTCCGCGTGTCCGTCACAGCGGAGCTTGTTGTCGATGCATTGTTTCCACCAGTGATGATTTTTGCATTCAAACTTGTCAGCACCACATGGTACTAGATGATGACAAAAATAAAATTCTCATTAAAAAAGCCCTGTTGCTGTTCAAAGTTGAACAAAGATTACTGCGACAGGATTAGCTCATTCGTTAGAGGGCTCGAGTGCTTAGAAGCAGGTCGAGAGTTCGATTCCCGGGGCCGGACCAATACTCAGGATCTTGAAAGTTCTAAGAAATGAAGGTACTGCCTTTGCCCGGGAAATGGCGTGGTTCGGATGAACACGTAACATAGCGGTCCTAAAATTAGTACCTTTAATTAGTACATTGAACATTTTTATGATTCTGTGAGTCATTACGCACATCTTTCATTAAATTGATGAGGAAAAATTGGTCTGGCGAAGGGTAAGCCACACTGGCTACTTTTCGTTCTTTGAGATACAACCCCTACTAGACTCCTAACCGAGAGATGTTGACATTTTTCATTTCCTTGAAGTTAGAATACTTTGCCTTTTGTTACACCAAAAAAAGCCTAATAAGCATAAGAATTACAAACCGTTCTCTGTGACACAGAAGCCTCTTTTGCCGTCCCTGTCGTAATTAGGCGTAACGGAACACCACGGGGCTCCCAAATGAGTGGAATCACCTTGAGAACATTCATTGTAAATTCTTCCTTTGTAGGTGAATGGAAAAACACAGCACTCTCCGCCGCCATTGCCACCATAGGACCGAACATTGCAGTCTCCTGAAGCAAGTTAAGGTAGAGGAATGTGTATTTTTACTTTGATCATTTCCGCCTTTACAAGTCTTTGTTCAATAGTTACCAAACCTCGATCGTTGTTTCTAAATTTTATGTAGCCTTTTTTATTTTATTCCTCTTTTATTTTTTGCGGCAGAAAAAAATTAATGACAGGGTCTAATCCTATCGCTATATGCTCGGTGATGAGTCGTCTTGGGTTTTAAAGTGGTACCTAAAGGTTGTCACGGCAAAATTCTCACAAATGGGTCTTTAAAGAGAGGGCACTTAACTGCAATGAATTGTGGGAACTCTGTTGTTGGCCTCTTACGCGGTGGTGGTTTCCCAAATATAGAGTGAGAAACAAGGTCCGGTAGCCTTATTTGAGAGTCGCTTTTTGCAGCCTTAACTGTTCCCCGTTCTGAAGGTCTTTCTCGAGCGTTTTTTTTTTATTCTTGTACTCGTGAATTTGCCTTCGACCCAGTTATCCGTGTTATCGTTGAAGAACATCCCCCGGAACTGTAAAGGTGGAAATTCAGTTAAAGGCTTCGGTACACTGGGCATTTTTTCTTGCAACTTGTCTCGCAATTTGTTGCGACACGAGTTAAAAAAATTGTCTGTTGCATCACAAATTCAAAATAAAGCCCAATTCACACCGAAGCTTAAACATACTTAAAAGCTGTTTAGTTAAACACGCTTTGAATTTTCTTTCCTTCATAAAAGCTGCTGTGTGAAACCCTGTGTTCCAGTTTTTCATGACTGTTTTTCATTATTTAAAACCTGGTTTAGTTTAGTTTAGTTAGTGTGAATGGGGCATAAGATCTACCTAAGTAGGGTTTTGTGAGCCCGCAAGGCTGAGCAACACCCACTCACCCTTGTTTGCACTAAAACTGCTGGACACAAAGCTCCCCCTGGCTGGATGTTACATTGTCACAACCGAAATAAATATGTCGCCCGACGTCGTTATCGTGATTGTCGAAAAGCTGGCTCCTCTCGTGCAACTTCAGTTGTCCCGACAACAGCGCAACAAAATTGCGAAGAAAATTCCAGGAAAGTTTGCCAAGTTCAACGCCGGGCCTTAAAATTCCCTTTGATAATCAACCACTAAGGATACGAATAAGCAAACATTTATTTGTTAATACTCACCGGAATCGTAATAAGCTCGAAAACCTCTGTATTCATCTCCACGAAACGATTTGAATACCACCAACATCTTATTTCCACTGGATTGTACCCCCATGGGGATTTCACGTCCACAGAATTTCCCTAGGGAGGGGCTGGTAGTGTTGAGTCCATCAAATACCCGTACGTACGCATGCTCGCAGGTGCTACTGTTGTGTAACTCAAAGTCTGTGAAATTTAACGTGATTTGATTGGCCGAGGCAACGGTGATTTTCCAGGTACATGTGACGTTGGGTTTATAGTTGCGAGGAAAGTTGGAAGAGGAAATGACTCCTGCTACTTGTGTACGTGTGCCGCCACAACTATAACCTGCAAGGAATAGAGTTAGACTTATTTCACAATTAATTGTTCGGATCTTCTCGATAATCCGAATCGTTCCCACAATATTGATACATACGAAACGATCGTATGGAAATACCGTCACGACCGAGTAGATATAGAAATCCATCGGGATGATTTGGGCGATCGTGCGATCTTGAAAGATCATTAAAAGCGATTTTATCAAAACTGAACCGTCAGTCAGTCTATCCCAGTATAGACGCAGCCGCGCTAACAGGCGATCAAGGCGGCTATATGGAAACCAGCGACAAGAACTACCTCGAGACGCAAAAGAAAAAAGGACACTAATTTTTTTTGTAGATTCAGTTCCCATAATTTTTCAATTATAGGTGCTATATATTATTGTTGTTAAGCCGAAAAATTTATAACTTTGCAGTGAAACTTTTGAACGTGGCTCTCAACTTACTGTTTCTTAAGCAACGATACTTGGTACTTCTGTCCTTTTCTGGCGTTTCCGGGAAACACCAGGGTGACGACCATTGCTCCTTCCAGTCTTTGTCAGGGACATCGGCTGTGCAAGCCGTGTAAGTTCGGTTGTTGTACACAAGCGGAAGCCTACAGCACTTCTGTTTTTCCGTCACAAAAGGACACGACTCTGGAGATTGAAAAAGAATTATCCTTGTATAAATCAAAAGCCTAACGAAATTTCATCCATGTATTGACTTGAAAATTGAATGTTTTTTGGGCTGTAATAAGTGCCTCTCATGCAGACAGTTGATGCACCCTGGACTGGTATTATTTTCCTTAGCGAGGACATTACATATCCCCAGAATACCTGTGAAGAAAATCACTGTACTGGTGAGCCCCTTCGAGACGACAAGTTAACAAGTTTTCCTTTCTTGACAAGGTTAAAAAAGAATTGTCAAGTTTCCCTATTTGCACAACAAAGAAAAAAACAAATTCTTTTTTTGTTCTTTTTTTTGCTTGGAATTTCTTCTTGCTATTTTTTTTTTTTAATGAAAACGAGCGATTTCCTTGGACGGAATTAGAAACTTAAAGAAAAGCAGAAGAATAATCTGCGGCTTAGAGAAACTTGTGGGCGAGGAGGCATAAAGTCATCTTATGAAGATTACTACCAGTCCTCGAGCATCATATTTTTATAACTGCATTTTACAACGAAGATCTTCGCCTGAAAAATTCATAGCGATTTCTTGGCCATAGTGTAACTGTTCAGACTAGTACTGGGAAGACGATACGTTCCGTTTTAAGACATGTATGGTCAAATCTTCATGCCTTTCATCTTTGACTTTGCAATAATTTATTACCCCTAGACCCGTAGGACGAAAAGTCGCATATTTTTCAGCTTAATTGGATTGAGAGGATTAGATAAATCATACCTTTTAACCTACAGTGTCGATGTTATAAAATATTCTTTTTGGTCGTCGTAATCTAACCAGATCTCATTTACTGGCATTTTGGCGAGTTATTTTATTTTATTTTTGGAATATTTTACACACAGGTTATCGTAAGATGTAAAAGCAAAATACACCAAGACCGCAAACATTTCGTTGACTGCCGCTCAACGAGGAGATTTAAATGTATTTAATTTGCGATTCCTGTGGGTAAATAACCCCGAAAAAGCTTGTGGAATGGAATAAAAAATAAATAAAATTTGCAATGATTTTTAATTTTCTACCAGACATGCATACAAAGCAAGTTTTATTGTTTCGGAATAGTGTTAAAATGAGTTTATTTTGTTTTGATACCGTTTCAAATGAAAAACAGTCTTTGTAGCTAGTGAAACCATTTGCATTTAAATTGAGATAAATTGACGTCAAACCATAGAAATTCGAGGAAAATATCATTAAAATGGATAAATTTTTTACGAAAAAAAGGTTAAGTAACGAGATTAAAATTTACTTAGAATTAAGCTATTTGCTCGCTTGAAGACCTACATAGAATTGAACTGCTGCTAAATATTTGTTAGCAAACACACCAACGTCGGATATCTCAAGGAAGATAAATAGTATTTATAACACTCTGCCACCCTCATACTTAAAGGATATAAAACACCAAGTAGTCTAAACAGTTTTTCAGTATTCATTGACGGCTATGGAATATTTAATCATACAATATGAACACCAGGGGTGCCCGGGTTGAAAGTTGTGTGCTTTCATAACGGAACGGAAGTATTTTCGCCTTAAAAAGTTTCCGCTTAAAACCCTAATACGAGATAGATAAATCATCGTCAATGTTTTCATGGGTGAAATGTTTGATATCGACAGGCCTTCGAGTAGTTAGGGAATATGGTTCCAACACCGGTTCATATCAACATGAACCTTTAACAGACGAACTAATAGCAAAATATTTTACTTTCTGGAAAGTCAACATTTTTTATAACCAGGAAAAGTACTTACGCTTCTCCGTCCACGTGCGTGCGATCCATAAGGAGGCCAGTACAAGTGTAATCAGAGGCTGTAACCTTATCATCATCCTCAGAAATAGTGTCCTAGAAATCAGAAGCGGTGAATTTAATGGCGAAAAAGAAACATCTGTTTCGGTTATCTTAGCAATAAAATGACTATTTATGTACAAATTTTATCACAGAGGAGCGAAGGAGGCGGATTTAAATAGGTTAATATTCGGTAGCTGCAGAGTTGAAAAATACTTTTAAGTATTTGTCTGTAACGACCATTCACTCCCACGGCCTAACAGCCCATCTCTAAAATGATTTTCTTTACCCCCTGCGTATGTTGACAGATCAAAGGACTTATCTCTTTTAAGGGACGGACCATTAGAAAAGTTATGGGGGGGAAAGGGAAATTTCGAGCGGCAGGAATTTTTTTTCGTTATCAAATTCCTTGCATGAATTTTTTTTAGGCCATAGCATGAATATTTTTTAGGGTTAATTGGCGTGCAAGAATTTTTTTTCATTTAATTCTCCCTTGCGCGAATTTTTTTTTGTACTTCGCCCGCCCTCCCCATAAGTTTTCTAATGGTCCGTCCCTAAAAAGAAATGAAGTTTAATTAACCTTTTTACGGCACAAAAGAATCGTATGTGAGTAGGATAAATGCCGTGGAATTCCCCTGGAGTGTTTTTCTCTTTGTCAAATTAAATCACTTTACTGATTGAAATTTGGCGTCGAGAGCGGCTGTTTCACGCTGGTGATAGACTTCCATTAAAAATATTGGCCCGATAAACGAAAATTTTGTTTCTATAAAATACCTAAATGGATGTTATTTCGATAACAGTGGTATGAATCATACTGTGGTTTATTGAACTCGTATGATGTCTATCAAATTAAACCGCCGCTTTGAATTGAGCACAAATGCCGGCCAACAGGGGATAAAAAGGTTAAAGAATGCATTAACGAAAATTTACTTTGCCCGCCATCTTAGGGTTATTTGCATAAACAATTAGAAAGGAAAAAATATATTTCACACATATTTCACTTACGAGGAAAAAACTTATAAATTTGTTTTGTTATACTTTTTTTTGTAGTATTTTAAATGTGGTTCAGGTGATTGTTTTAACGAAAATAAAGTCGTGGTTAAATCGTAGAAAACGAATGTATTTTACACAAGGAGGAATTTGTGATAGTTAGGACGTGAAAAACGATATTAAGTGAGGTGGTACCTCTTGGGAGAAAATTCCTTTTTCTTAATCTCTCTTCCGGTACTTCCAATTTTTTAACTTTATTTTGATCCTTGAAATTTCTGGACAGGATGTGAACAGTTTTTATACCATAAGAAAATACGAAGAACACGTCCTCCCAACAATATATCCGGGATTTCCAAACAGGTAACATGAACTTTTGAAACAAGTGACCGCGTCAAATTCACGACGCCATTTAAAAAATTCTGCGTAGAAAATACCACGTTTGACTGTTTAATGAAAACCCGTCAGCAAACTTTTATTAATACTGATTAGTGTTAAATTTTTTTATTACGTATTTTGGGGTTGTTTTACATTTTACGTTAAAACAATATTTTAATTAATCCGGTACGTACTCATCTTTAAAAGATGTTTCCAGACCTCAGCAAACCCGGTGAGAGAGAGAGTAGGAAGAAGCTAAGGTAAAAGGCACTCAGACCCTAATTCTGCCATTCTACCATGATATATAACTTTCTTAAACTATAATACCTTAAAGTTTTTGTTGTGTTACCTTATATACCTTACCAGACAAGAATGTATCAACGATTTCGCTGTCTTACTTCCAACCTTTGTATTGTACCGAGCAAAAAATTGGTGAAACAATAAAACAATAAATGTAATGAGAAAATTTTATACAGTAGAAACACTAGCCAAATAAAGTTGTGGTCAGTGATAGTTCTGTGAAAGCATTTCAACACCGTGGTTGAATGGGCAATTATTTTATAAATAATTGCCAGGAAATCGTTAATGATTAAAGCAGGTTTTTGAAGCAGTGATAAGAAACAGGAAAGGCTTAAAAAGTTTGGTGAGGCAGCCGATTAAAATTGACAATGTTGGCGATTTTTTCCAATGTCGAAACTCTGAATCAATGCTTCTTCCAGCCTTTTAGGAAGAATCTCATTTTAGGTCCGCAGAATTTGAATGATCTCTAGCGAAAGTAAGCAAATGGGAGACATATCAAACGTGACTGCTAAGAAGAAACCATAGATCACATATCAATCATAGAATTACCAAAACAAGCAGACTATGCAAACACATTGAGCCTTATCTAATTGAGCAAAGTGNCGTCAAATTCACGACGCCATTTAAAAAATTCTGCGTAGAAAATACCACGTTTGACTGTTTAATGAAAACCCGTCAGCAAACTTTTATTAATACTGATTAGTGTTAAATTTTTTTATTACGTATTTTGGGGTTGTTTTACATTTTACGTTAAAACAATATTTTAATTAATCCGGTACGTACTCATCTTTAAAAGATGTTTCCAGACCTCAGCAAACCCGGTGAGAGAGAGAGTAGGAAGAAGCTAAGGTAAAAGGCACTCAGACCCTAATTCTGCCATTCTACCATGATATATAACTTTCTTAAACTATAATACCTTAAAGTTTTTGTTGTGTTACCTTATATACCTTACCAGACAAGAATGTATCAACGATTTCGCTGTCTTACTTCCAACCTTTGTATTGTACCGAGCAAAAAATTGGTGAAACAATAAAACAATAAATGTAATGAGAAAATTTTATACAGTAGAAACACTAGCCAAATAAAGTTGTGGTCAGTGATAGTTCTGTGAAAGCATTTCAACACCGTGGTTGAATGGGCAATTATTTTATAAATAATTGCCAGGAAATCGTTAATGATTAAAGCAGGTTTTTGAAGCAGTGATAAGAAACAGGAAAGGCTTAAAAAGTTTGGTGAGGCAGCCGATTAAAATTGACAATGTTGGCGATTTTTTCCAATGTCGAAACTCTGAATCAATGCTTCTTCCAGCCTTTTAGGAAGAATCTCATTTTAGGTCCGCAGAATTTGAATGATCTCTAGCGAAAGTAAGCAAATGGGAGACATATCAAACGTGACTGCTAAGAAGAAACCATAGATCACATATCAATCATAGAATTACCAAAACAAGCAGACTATGCAAACACATTGAGCCTTATCTAATTGAGCAAAGTGTCTTGTTAACAAATCTGTGTCAAAAATCGTCCACAAAAAACATCAAGA